ATAATTTCCACATAATTATGTTGTTTCCTCACAGCGTCATTTAGCTTATCCCCCCTCTACTCCATATATTTGTTATCAACTGAAAGGTAACTACAAAGGTTTGTTGAATTCAGGTTCAAATTTTGCAGCAAGAACAACTCATAGGTGATGCAATGTTATTCAAAAACATCAAATAAGTGTGCACATGTCTAGTTGCTCTGCTTTAGTGATATGATTGGTCAGTGGGTTAGGGTGGTGACAGCCTGACAGCTCAATTATACAAGATAGAGCCAGCTCAGTAAGGTGATGCTGAAAAAGTCTTAAGCACCAAAAGGAGACAAAGGTAGTATCTGCAAAAACAGGTAAGCCTTTTAGAAAACTCACAAGAATCCACAGATAGTCTTGAGGGATATTTTTAGCAAGATTATTTTTATAAAATGTGTATGTATATATATTGGTATGTGAGCAAAAAACAAAAAAAAATACAATGTTTAAAAGGTGAAACTTTTACCTATTTATTGAAGCCAAGATAGGGAAGCAATCCAATCCATTAACAGATAAAGATGTGGTATATATATTACACACACACACACACACACACACACACACACGAAATTTTACTCTGCTGTAAAACAATAAGAGTATGCGATCTTGCCATTTGCAACAACATAGATGGACCTAGAGGTTATTACGCCAAGTGAAACAAGTCAAAGAAAAATACTGTATGATTTCACTTCTATGTGGAATCCAAAAAAGTTGAACATATTAAAAATGAACCAAAAAAAAGCAGAAATAGATTCATAAATACAGAGAACTGATGGCTGCCAGAAGGGAGGGGGTTAAGGGCATGGGCAAAAAGGGTGAAGGGGAGTGGGAGATACAGGCTTCCAGTTATGAACTGAAAAAGTCACAGGGATAAAATGTACAGCAGAGAATACAGTCAGTTGTATTGTAGTAGTGTTGTATGGTGACAGATGGTAGCTACACTTGTGGTGAGCACAGCGGAAAGTATAAACCTGTCTAATCACTATATTGTACACCTGAAATAACCTAACATGTATATCAACATTGTATATTCATCATTGGGTATTCATCAGCAACACTGTGCATTCAAAAAAGTAGGAGTTTTACAATCGCATCAAAAATATTAAATAGCTAGGAATTAATCTAAAAGGAATATGTTGTGAGTATTGTGGAGAAAATCATATTTAGGGAAAGAAATTAAGGAATACCTTTACAAATGCAAAAGAACACCATTGCCATGCATGAGAACACTCAATATAGCAAAGGAGCCAATTAAAATTGTGGCTTCAGTGTAATTCCAACAAAATACCCAAAGATATTATTTTAATAGAATTAAACTGAAGAATACCAAAAAGAATCAAGGCACTTCTGAAGAAGAGGAACAAAATTGAGACACTTTACCAGACATCAAAATAGTATTAAATAATTACATCTTAGTAATTATGAAAGTGTTGTATTGTGCAGGGATAGGCCAAAAGACTAATGGAACAGAAAAGACGTAGACACAGAATCATAAATATATGGAAACTGGCTGTATGATAAGGCTCCCATGCAGCGTAGTGAGAAATGAATTATTCAATAAATGGTTCTGGGACAACTGGTTATCCAGATGGACACTGGACTCCATTTCCTGGTACATGCAAAAGTCAGTTCATTTAATTTAAATATAGAAAATTAAATTATGAACCATTTCAAAGCCAACACAGGAGACTCTAGTAACCACTTGTGTATGTGGGAATGACTCATATAAGGCTCCAAGTCTCATAAAATCAATAGTATAAAGGAAAAGAAAGACACAGAGATCTTAAAATCGCAATACTATGCACACAAAATAAGTTTTTTTAAAAGAAGAAAATAAAGCATTTGTATATAACAGGAAAAAATTGGAAGACCATTCATTCATACAAACTGTCAACCATGGGTCAACAAGATAAAAAGGAGTTTTTACGTCGTTAAATATACAATCTTTCAGTAGAAAGCATACATTATCGAAATGTTAAACACCAGAAAAGTTTGATAAAAATGTTGGAAATATTTTAAATAAACTTGGAGATTAAAGCATGGATGTATGGTCAGAAAGCAACTAAAAACAGGTGGCAAGTCAGTATAAATATGAAAGACTTCTTTATAGCAAAAGCACCATGAAAAAGGTTAAAAGCCATTTCAAGAATGGAAAATATTAACAACATAGTTTCACTGCCAAATATATGTATGATGTATACATGCATTATGTGAGTACACTGGTGCATTTATATTCATACATGTAGTACGTACATGTAAGTTAGGTGAGTATACAGATTATACACAATAGTAAACAGTACTTGACATAAATACAAGAGATATCAGTATCAATAAAGAAATAATTAAGGAAACAAAATAAACTTGAAGCTATTCATACACACACGTAATTTTTTTGTTTGCTTACTTGAAGGCATTAGGTTTATTTTGAGGGAAAGTAGTGTTTGGGGCTCTTAAAACACACCTCTGAGGCATGCAAATAAGAGTAGCCATGAGACGAGCAGCAGATGATGCATCATGGAACCCTCTCCGCTATTCCCCAGGGCCAGAGAGGAACCTTTATCAGATGGAGAAACTAGAGTCCTAGTGTTGCACGATGGAAGAAGAGAAGCAAATGGTCTGGTTTTTAATTGTAACAGTTTTGCTCCCCTGGATGTCCTTAAGGTGTGGCATTCATGGCTGGAGGCACAGGGCCCAACCACTTCTCCAGCAGATGTGTCAGCATCTGCTCAGAGCCCACACCACATGGGTTCGGCCATCCCAATGGGTCATGGTGATGGGCAGCCCCAAGGCCCCATATATGCAGGCTGCCTTGGAGGTCTCCTTTGCGCTCATTCTTCACCTGTGGTGCTGAGATCTTTTCTAGAAGTCCCTGGGCTTGCTCTGTAAGATACACCAGCTTCTCTGCAGCAGCCAGGATGCTCTGGGACTCCAAGATGTCTTTGTCCTCTGACCAGATGCTCATCTATAGTTCCCTGGACACTTTCTCCAGCACCTTTGGGTGCTCCAGGTTGACAGTGATAAGGAATCACAGGGCCAATAAATTTCCTTTTTTGAGGATCACCGAGAAGAAACCCTTGGGGAACTGGACAGGAAACTGGACATACTGTCCCAGGAGCCTAACATCATTTCTCAAGTATTGGGCTTTGCAGGGAGGCAGAGCTGGCCGTTTGCTTCCACTGTCTCACATTCAGTGCAATGATGTTTGGGTGCAACTGCAGGTTGATGTTCCAGATGCTTTCATATCAACACTGTGGTAGTTGATTTTGTATGTCACTTTGCTGGGCCTCTGTGCCAAATATGTGGTCAAACATTATTCTGGATATTCCTCTGAGGGAGTTTTTGGACAAGACTAACATTTAAATTAGTAGACCTCAAGTAGATAGCCCTCTAATGCAGACAGCCTCATTCAATCTACTGAAAGCATCACTAGAACAAAAGTCTGACCCACCATGACCCAAGAGGGAGTTTCCCAGATGACCTTCAGATTTGAGCTGCAGCATGCAATCTTCCCTGGATCTCTAGGTTGCTGGTTTTCAAATCTGCCATGCCAGTCTTCATAGATTTCCCAGTCTCCACTATCATTTGAGCCAATTCCTTAAAATAAATCTTTCTCTAAAAACACATATCTTGGGGCAGCTCCGGTGGCTCAGTGGTTTAGCGCCGCCTTTGGCCCAGGATGTGATCCTGGAGACCTGGGATTGAGTCCCACATCAGGCTCCCTGCATGGAGCCTGCTTCTCCCTCTGCCTGTGTCTCTGCCTCTCTCTCTCTCTGTGTCTCTCATGAATAAATAAATAAAATCTTTAAAAAATAATAATAAGGGGATCCCTGGGTGGCTCAGCGGTTTGGCACCTGCCTTTGGCCCAGGGCGCAGTCCTGGAGTCCCGGGATCGAGTCCCGCGTCAGGTTCCTGGCATGGAGCCTGCTACTCCCTCCTCCTGTGTCTCTGCCTCTCTCTCTCTTTTTATGTCTATCATAAGTAAGTAAATAAATATTTAAAAATAAAAATAATAATAAAATAAAAACACACATCTTATTGGCTGTTTTTCTGGAGAATCTTGACAGAGCATCTCACCACTTAGCAAAATAAACGGACAAAGCTCAGAGCGCTAGGAACAAAAAGAAAATATCTTTAAAATATTGTAAGAGGGATGCCTGGGTGGCTTAGCGGTGGAGCATCAGCCTTTGGCTCAGGTCATGGTCCCAGGGTCTCACATCGGGCTCCCCACAGGGAGCCTGCTTCTCCCTCTGCCAGTGTCTCTTCCCCTGTGTGTCTCTCATAAATAAATTTAAAAAAATAAAAATAATTAAAAGATAAAACATAAGAAAATGGTACCCAAGTATCAAAAATCAGACTAGTATCAGACTTCTCAAAAATAGTATGTTTTGAAAATTAGGTAGTATGACTTCAAATGTAGCCACTATATTTGGCTTAACTGTCACCTTAGTATAGGTAGAATAAAATCACTTTAAGACATGCATAATCTCGCAAATTTCAAAATATTTAGGGTGATGACACTCCAAATGAAAAGATAAAATAAGTAGGAAGGTATGGGATTAAACCAACGAGGAATTCAAGAACAGAGGGCAATTCCCAGGACAGTGGGGAGGGACACAGCTAGACTCATAGGATAGCTTGTTCAGATTGAAACAGGAGATCCAGAACCATGTTCACCAGGAAAGAAACTACTAGGTTATCTGTGATCTGAATAAATGTGTGTAGGGAAAGGGTTTTTAAAAGGCAAAATCCTCAGGATCTACAGTAATCAGTCAGTTGTGTCAAATGGTAACAGACACGTACAATAAAGAGGAAAATATGATATTAAGAATTATGGAAGTAAACAGAAGAATCCACTAATGGTAGATATATGGTTAAGGATGATCACTAAGACAACAACTCACTCAACCATGAAGGAATGAGTATAATTAAAAGACAACTTACAAGCAATTTCAGCAGAAAATGTTTTATTGGATTTGTTAAGTAATATAATTCTCAAATACTTTAAGAAAGTCAAAGCACTTAGCAACTAATACCAAAAACATCTGTAAAATTGCTGTCACTATCATGTTTTTATAGTTGCTGAAAGTAAAGGAGAAAAATCAATTCTGGTTTTCAGCAGTAAACCTTAAGAGTCTAGAATTACTGAGACTAAATTTACTAAGTCACCCCTAGACACTGAAACAGTATCGTTTCCCAGGTATCTAGTTTTCATCATCTGTTACTGAAGAGATTTTAAGAGGTTCATAATCTATTCCAATACAGAAATAGGGACAAACTTCTTTAAAATAATCATTACAGGGCAGCCCCAGTGGCGTAGCGGTTTAGCGCCGCCTGCAGCCCAGGGCGTGATCTGGAGACCCTGGATCGAGTTCCACATCAGGCTCTCAGCATGGAGCCTGCTTCTCCCTCTGCCTGTGTCTCTGCCTCTCTCTCTCTCTCTCTCTCTCTGCATCTCTATGAATAAATAAATAAAATATTAAAAAAAATAAACCCACTTTAGAAAGAAATCATTACAAGTATAGAGAAGAGATCTATCATTCATATTGTAAAAGGAAACCTCCCCTAACTCACAGTCCACAAAAATGTCAACCTTACTGGGGTTTACTACAGGCAGAAACTGGGTTCTCTTAGGACCCAGCATAACATAAATGCTTTCAACGTATCTCCCAATCGCCCAGAATCCACCCTCAACTATTGGCCGATTCCACCAATTCCGAAGGAAACAGTCTCAAGACACCCCCAAGGTCCATTTAGGCTTGTTTCCCACTTCTACTTCCCAGTAACGCCGGCCAGAACTAAACCTCCTAGAACCCAGGACAGGAGGGCAGAGATAAAATCTCCTTGGGTTATAACAGAGATGCTTTTTTCTCTTTCTGTATCACAGTTTTTCTATCCTCGGAGACAACAAGCCGAGGGTGTGCTGTTTCAAGATCTAGAATCATGTCTACCTGAAAGGGCTTGAGGATTCTGTCCAAGCCAGAATACTGTGGAGGAAGGCTAAATCCATATTTCTTTAACTGGAATAAGAAGAGCTCAGGATATTCCAGGTTTCATACCTGTGGTGGATACCCTTAACGTGTGTCAGAAAGTCCAGGTCTGACTGCATATGCTTGGACTCCACCTCCTTCAGCAGACGTCTTAATGTGGACACATGACCTGAAAATGTTGTACGGTGTTCGGCTTGTTTTGTTAAAATGTCCCTCTCTTCATCTACCATCTGCTTAAGAAGAGATTCCTGCGATTCTGTAGAAACAGTCTAATTTGCTCAAATTCGGAAAGGATTTCTTCTCTCCTAAACTCTACCTTCTTCTTCAGTTCCACTAGTTTGCTGGCTTGAAGCGTTATCACTTTTTCTACTCATTCCATATTGTCTTTCAAGGGGTCAATACTATATTCTAGAATCTTCCTGTGAAAAGAGGCAGCTTCCTTGATGGGACAAATGTAGTGTTTCCGGTGTTGCAGGGAGAAACTGCACTATGTACATAAAACCTCCAGGTTCTTCCCGCAAAACAGGGTCAGAAACTGATTGTGCTTCTCACACACAGAGTACTCTTCCTGCCTTTTCCTCTTGCTCCTTTCTGACCTGCAGTAGTTTAGCAATTTCTGTCAAATTGCAGAGCTGGCAATTGCTCCTGAAGCTTTTGTTATGAAAGCAAAATCAGCAGACGGGACAAGGGAAGGTCTCATCCATGTCCTTCCACATCATGTTGATGCAGGAGCGACAGAAGTTGTGCCCACAGTTTGTAGTCACCGCGTCTTTCAGGTAGTCAGACAGATGGGGCAGCTGGACTCCTGGAGGTGTGTCAGGTCCGTCACAAACTCCATTGGGCCGAGAACAAAAGTGGCGGGTAAGATGCTCCCTTGGCAAGGCTCACCTTAAGCTCCAGACCCGCCCCCAGACCTCCCAGCTCCAGGTTTCACTGGGCCTGCATGCTGATGGCCTCCAAGGTCCTGCTCCTTAGCCCGAGGGTGAGAAGGATCCAGGGTTTGCAGCTCTATCACAGGAGGGCGCCTAAATTTAAGATTAATGACTTTCTTCTTTAACAAAGTAGTCACAGGTCCAAGTAAGCAATCACTGCTGTGGGTGAGAAAAGTTTTTAATTTTCAAAATCTCCTAGACTTGCTATCACAATACAATAATTAATTTAGGCAAGAATCATTGATAGCTGCACAAATTACTCAGCGACGTTTCCTGGGTGATATATTTACAAAAATCTCAGAATAATCACTCTTAACAATTATATTTTATTTATAGAGAGGAAAGACAAGTGCCTTTACAATGTGAAGATCTGAAGAATACCTCCTGGCCAATGAAAGGACAAACTGATGGCCTACAATGAGAAAAGCATCACTTACAGAGTTTTTCTGCCCAAGAAAAAAGAGAAAAAAAAGAAATTCGCCTAAACTTAATCATGGGGAAACAATCACTAAAATCTAAATCATGGCAACATTCAAGTCAATGGTCTTCAAGCCTGTACAATGGCTCTGAAAAAAAAAATGAGCACTCTTCTATGCTAAAAGACTAAAGAAACAATTGGGAAAAATTTGTGGTCTTTAGCTTTCTAGAGTCTAGATAAGCAGATAAACTGCTCTGAAGTAGACAGTACAGAATAAAGGCAAAAATTTGAATATGCCCTATTTATTAGATAACAGTAACATCAAAATTAAACTTTCTGGATTCAAAAGACTGTATCATAGCTGAAGAAAATATCCTGCTCTTAGGAAATATATGCTGAAGTATTTACAGGGAAGGGGTCATGATCTTTGAATGTTACTCTGAAATATTGCTTAAAAAAAGAAGTGAGGGCAACACTCTCGGGTCCCCTCCCTCCCTGGGAGCTTTGTACTATCAAAGCTAAGCTATTTACTATTGCTAAATAACTTTGCTGAGAAAAAAAAAAAAAGAAAGAAGTGGGTATCATGGTTTGGGTATGATGCGGGAGATGGATGTGTTTATAAGAAGGCAGCATGAAAGACACTCGGTGACAGATTGATCAGTCACTTGATGTTGGTGTGCACTGTGTGAATCTACATATGATAAGTGCAGAAAACTATACATACTTGTCTAACCAGTACCAAATTCCTAGTTTGATATAGTATCATTAAGAAACCTGGGAACCTGGGTTACAGACACCTGAGACTTCCTGTACTGTCTTATCAAATTCCTGGGAATCTATTATTATTCCAAAGGATTAAAGTTGGGAGCCCAGGTGGCTCAGTGGTTGAGCGGCTGCCTTCAGCTCAGGGTGTGATCCTGGGTCCTGGGATCGAGTCCCACATCAGGCTCCCCTCTGCCTGTGTCTCTGCATCTCTCTGTGTCTCTTATGGATAAATCAATAAAATCTTAAAACAAAAAACAAAGGTTTAAAGTTTTGGCAAAATCACCTTCAGGCTCATCCAAATGTTTAAATCAAAGGTGGTGTGGTTCACTTTGTAGAGCACTGGGATACACCACGAATCACTAGGTGCCTTGCATTCTCTACTCATGGACTGTACTGCGTAGTATCTGGGCAGTCTGCCACCTTGTAAGCTGTATGGACCTAGGATACCAGTGTAACCTCGCTGCGCTGCAATCCGTTCTCAGGAGGATTATGGTACCACCCCGTCAACCTGCTTCTATTCTTGCTCTCTTGCACCCATTTGCCATTCAAGTAATAGTAAAACTTTCCTTGAATATGCAACTCATAACATCTCTTCCTAGAGATTAAAATCCTCCAGTTTCTGAACACGCTTTGAATCGTCAATGCCTCAACATGGTGCACGGAGCCCTGCGCCACTTCCCTTCCAGTCCCCTTGACTCCTGTCATTCTTCCTTGCTTCATCACAGTAACCGCCGTTTTGGTTCAATGTGCCAAGGTGACTGCTTGACCATTCTACCCAAAAATCCTTGTACATCTCTGCCTTTTCCTTCTGAACCTCCTTCTCAAATGTTATCTCCTCAGGGAAATGGTTTCTATCCACTTCGTCTAACACATACCTTGAATCCAAATAACTTCCCAGATGTTCCAGCCACTATCATCCACACACATGTGGGGACAGCGGGGCTAGTGTCCTGCGTGGTTGGCAGCAATGAGTTGGTAGAAGGCTGATTTTCCAACATAGAAGGACCCACAGTTCGTATCTCCATCTCCTCTGACCTGGCAGGGCTCAGTATTTTTTAGATCCTTCTTGCCAATCTCCCATCTATATAGACAGTATTCCCTCTGACTAGTGACCCTTCCCTCAAATTTTTACTAGGTTCAAATCTAAGGCTTTTTGGAGCTCAAAAGTATCTCGTGCGTCAAACACTGTGGTGTCTTCCATGCAGTCACCGACTCTCCTCAGTTAAGCCCTCACAACTGTCAATTAACGCTGGGAGAGGCAATCTCACATAGGCCCCGGGTGACACTGCCTGGTATGCCAAGATGCCGGGCCCTGACTGCTCTTCACTCAGGCCATTTCTCAGGGCTGTATTTCCTGCAAGCATCCCTGAAAGAGGTGAAGTCTCCTTGGGGGGCCAAGAACAGGCTTGCTATAAAAGCGGATCTGCCAAACACAGAGTTCTTTGGCTGTGTCACAAACCCATGGTGTACACAGCATCCAGCTCGTATGGAACTGACACCAACCTGATGCTCGTGCTGTTGGCTGTGCCAGGAGTAACTGAATCCTGTCTCTGAGCCAGTTGTTTGTGTTGGCTGGCGGCAACCATGAAACAACAACAGGTAATGTGTTGGCTTCAAGTAGGGTAAAATCTTAGGCATTGATAGTTGGGAGTTAAAATCTTTCATTATAGCTGTGATGTTTAAATTTATGAGACTTATCCAAAGTCATACAACACTAACTGCTATTAACTACTAGCATACTATTAAGCACACTACCATTTTCTTGGTACTCCTGTGACGTAAGAAATACATGTTTGGTCTTTGGCCCCTGACTTAGGGCTCTTAGCACCCTTGGGCTCGCCCTATAGTGATGAGTGCATTTTGTATTCTAATGAGATAAATGATGGCTGAGGACCCCTATGTAACTTCAGAATGGAAGCAGGTAAGCATAAAGACCAAGGCAAGGTTAGAGGGTTTGGACTATCAGCCCCAACCGTATCCTCCTGGGAAGAGGCCCTGGAGGTGGAGGTAATCACCAATGGTCAATGATTTAACAAACTGTGTAAACATAAATGAGCCTGGATAAAAACCCCTAAATGTTGAGGTTTAGTGAATTTCTGGGTTGGTGAGTACATCCCAGTGCATTGGGATGGCATGCAGTGCCTGACTAGAACAAATGCTCCAGAAATGCCTGTCTGCAGGACATCTGGGTGGCCCAGTGGTTGAGCGTCTACCTACCCTTGGCTCAGGAGATCCCGGAATCGAGTCTCACATCAGGATCCTGCAGGGAGCCTGCTTCTCCCTCTGCCTATGTCTTTGCCTCTCTCTGTGTCTTTCGTGAATAAATAATTAAAAGTAAAATAAGTGCCTGCTTGCAAGGTTGGCCCTTGGCTCCTCCTGTGTCAGAACCTGGATTTTGGAAGGATTCCCTCCATCCCCTGATAACAATGGCTCGTCAAGCCTAAAATGTTGGTACAGCTAATGTGGTTGATGCTAGCTACCAGCATTCCTTCCAATAATCTGGAAATCTGATACATCTAACCAGGGGCTGACCTCATGAGCTGTTTCCAAAGAAAAGAAGCCTTGGACAATGAGCTTCGAAGAACGACCCTGGTGGACACTTCACACGTTATCATAACTTGTTGCTAAAGGAATTAAAGGGGTCCTACGTGACTTAACTGGGAAAGAACTGAAAGGTTGCCATGGCTTCCTCCAGACTTCAACTCATACATCTTTTCCTTTTGTGGATTTTGCCTTGTGTCCATTCACTATAACCAATTTATGTGAGCCCTGAGTCCCTGTAACAATGTCTGAACGTAAGGTCATCTTGGAAACCCACAGACACAAGTATTATTAGAAAATCAAATAAAGCTTTTAGAAATCTACCCCAACTGCCTCGATATTAGCATTGTTTCAGTCTAAAAGCCAATATATACCTTATTGCTTACGCTTTCGTGAGTAAAAAAGATGTTAACTACTCATGGTAGTTTGCCAGAGAAAGTTTGCATAAAAATCTAATTTTGAGGAAGCAGTAAGATATTATTACATCAAAGTTTTTTAATTATAGCATGATATGATTGGAGGGTAGCATGATATGTCATTCCAAAATATGCCTCTTTGGCATAAAGATGATTTTGAGCCGATTATTTTGAGAAATAGCAAACACAGAAGCTCTGAAAACAGACTAGAAGCTACCCTTTTGTAAGAGCAATTTACAATAGAAAGGGGGCCTGTCCCAGGAAGAGAACTCACAACTTTTTCACCCAGGAGACTAAATCCTCGGCAGGGCAAATCTTGTTTACCATATATTTTCTCTCTTCACTATCCTGTGAATTGCCTTCCTCCATTTCCCTGTGTCTTTCCTTAGTTCAGGATGAAACTGCCTGGCTGCCTTCATGTGTCTCCTATCTCTGTGAGTCTCCCTTACATAAAAATGTGAGTACGTAATTTCTTTTTTCCTGTTAATCTTTTACTACAAATGGAGTCTCAGCCAAGAACCTAGAGGGGTAGAAGGAAAACTATTTTTTCACTCCCATCCAATAAAAAGAAACATAATGATAATGTGTCTTCTAATTCTTCTGATTTTCCAATCTAACTTTTCATGAGTAACTGTCACAAGAGTCCCTAATCTTTAGAATTCCTCATTTTGGGGCACCTGGCTAGCTCAGTCGAAGAGCGAGGAATACTTTGTCTCAGGGCTGTGAGTTCAAGTCCCTTGTTGGTAGAGATAACATACATACAAAA